GTTAAAAAAGTCTCTCAACCCGTCCCATCTCTGACGGGCAGCCACTGATATCAGTCCCTTGCTTATTCTTTCAAAGACATTTTATGCATATGCAAGCAAATATAAACGTATATGTATATATTCCTTCTACCTTTTCACACAAATTTTGGCAAACTACATAAGCTTTCTCTTCACATTGTATAATGGAGACTATCCCATGAAGCAATATCAAGACCTTCACTATATCTTTATTTGTTCAAAATTTTTGTGTTACTCCATTGTACAGATATGCAAAGATTATACACACACACACACACACACACACACACACACACACATATATATATATATATATACATATATATCATTGCCCTTTAGGTTCTGGGGTACATGAGCAGATCATGCAGGGTTGTTGCATAGGTACATACATGGTAATTTGGTTTGCTGGCAAAGTTTTTTTTTTTTTTTTTTTTTAGTACTACAACATTTTATAACAATAAAGAATAGCTGAAACTACTACATGCTAACACAAACAATATGATACACAAACAATATGATACACAACCTCGGGGGAGAATTTGGCAGGGAGCACGTGGCAGAGGCCACAGGTTTAGACCAAGAGCCTTTCATGGACTGCTGAATGGAGGGATCTGCTGTTTCGGTTGTGAGCCTTCTTTGATGGTGACAGAACAGGTGATGTCAGGCCTGGAGACCCCACAGGCTCTCCCCAGGGCTTGCTTGGAGTGCACAAACACATACGGCACGTTCTTGTCTTCGCACAGCAGCGGGAGGTGCAGAATCATCTCCAGTGGCTCGGCATCTGCAGCCATCACAATGAACTCAGAGATGCCCCTGTTGAGGGTTTTGGTGGCCTCATTGGCTCCTTTCCAAAGAAGCTGCTTACAGTTACATGACTGCTGAATAAGGTCCAGTAGTTTCTTGGTGAGGTGGGCATCGGCGAGGGGATAGGCCTTCGGATTCACATCGGCCTTAGCCATGGCAGCGATTCTGCGGGCTCAGCACTCCAATGGCAAAGATTTTTTTTTAATAGAGATTACTTTTTTTGAATGCAGTGCTTCCTAACCAGCCGCCTCCTGATAGGTATTTGGATTACTTCTTTCAGAGAAAAATTTAACATCATGTAGCATCATGTGGGAAAGGTGGAGTGATTCCACTCCTTCATGCATATTCTAGGGGAGCTCACATATTCCTGGGACCAGAAGGCAATGTCCCAGCATGTTCATTACAACAATGTCTGTAAGAGAGACAACCAAAAGGTCAGTGAAGAGGGAAGAGATAAACTGTAGCAGATTTCTCCCATTCGATACTATCTGGCAATGAAATCAAACGAACTATTTGTATGAACATGGACTCACAGACCATGTTAACTGAGAAAGAAAGCAAACAAATGATAAAAATCAGCAAGAAATGGTTTAAACAAAGTCTAAATACAAGGCCAGGAGCAGTGGCTTATGCTTGTAATCCTAGTACTTTGGGAGGCCGAGGTGGGCAGATTGCTCAAGCCCAGGAGTTCAGGACCAGACTGGGAAACATCATGAAACCTCATCTCTACAAAAAATACAAAAATTAACTGGTCATGGTGGCATGCACCTACAGTCCCAGCTACATAGGAGGCTGAGATGGAAGAATTGCTCAAGCCTGGGAGGTCGAGGCTGCAGTAAGCAGAGACAGCGCCACTGCACTCCAGCCTTGGTGACAGAGCAAGGCCCTATGTGAAAAAAAAAAAGTCTAAAAACATGTCAAACAAAGAGATTGTCTAAAACATATTAAAAATATAAGGCATACAGCAAATTCGAGACACACATCTACCAGCAGTTCTTGCTTTGCTCAGTACAGTAATGGATGAAACACATGCATATCAGAACTGTGCAAAATCAGAGCTACCAACATATTGCTATAATTTTCTTTGTATACTAAATATAGCCAATAATATTAAAATGTCACAAATTGACAAACCTGGGTGGTGGCTTCACAAGCATTTCTTATAAGTCTCTACTCTTCTTTCAGTTAGACTACTTCATAATATAATTTATGAAGTAAATCCATAGAAATTGAACAAAATAAAAAAGGAGTTTGTTGAGTGCAAGGAAGCTCCAGAGAGGTAAAGACAGATGGAAAAATGATAATACTAAGCATGTTAATGACCTTCACAGTAACAGATTTTCTGGACTAGTATGAGCTGAAGACAGAATGAAGTACATAGAATATAAAAGAGAGATGAAGGTGTGGGGAATCCAAGGGATAAATGTGGGGTGGGGTGGGGTGGGCCAGACTGGGAGGTGCAGTTGGGTTCTGAACATTCTGCTTTAGATCCAGCACTTAGAGAAAGAGATGTCACCTTTATTTGGCTCCTTCCACAATCTTTAGAGGAATCTTCTGAAACATAACAAAAAATATATATGAATGGCCAATAGTCTTCAGGGAAAAATGCTAATAAAACCATAGTGATAAACCACTACACATCTATTAGAATGACTAAAATTAAAACTATTAATAACTATATGTTCTCAAGGATGCAAAACAATCTGTACTCTCACCTATTGTCTATAGGAATGTAAAGCAACTACTCTAAAAATCAGTTTTGTATTATCTAATAAACTTAAACAGACTAGTACTATATGGCTAGCATTTATTTTCCTAGGTATTTACTCAGGAGAAATGAAGAGTATGTCCAAGAATCTCTGTACAAGAATGTCCATAGTTCCTTTATTTTTAATAGTAAAAAAAATCAGGAATGCCCACCAATGCACAAAAAAATGTGATTCAATCATACAATGGAGTATTATCAGCAATAAAAATGAATTAACTACTGATACATGCAACAACATGGATGGATTACACAAAGCACAAAAAGTCAGACACAAGGGAGGCCATATTAGGTGAATGTATTTGTATGAAGTTTTAAAACAGGAAGAACTATGTTATCATGGTAATCATCAGACCAATGGCTACTGGGGAGAGGGTGAAAAAGGGAATTTGCTGTATCTTGACAGTGGCATGAATGATATGGCTGTATTTGTCAGAATCCACTGATTAATTTGATAAAGATCAGATCATTTCAGCATACGTAAATTTTGTAAGTTTAACATGCTTATAATACATTTTTAATATTAGTAATAAAAAAGTAGTTTAAAAGGCCGGGCGCGGTGGCTCAAGCCTGTAATCCCAGCATTTTGGGAGGCCGAGGCGGGTGGATCACGAGGTCAAGAGATCGAGACCATCCTGGTCAACATGGTGAAACCCCGTCTCTACTAAAAAAATACAAAAAATTAGCTGGGCATGGTGGCGCGTGCCTGTAATCCCAGCTACTAAGGAGGCTGAGGCAGGAGAATTGCCTGAACCCAGAAGGCGGAGGTTGCGGTGAGCCGAGATCGCGCCATTGCACTCCAGCCTGGGTAACAAGAGTGAAACTCCATCTCAAAAAAAAAAAAAAAAAAGTAGTTTAAAATAGTAGCAACCAAATTTAACAATGCATCAAAACAATACATCATGATCAAGTGAGTTTTATACCAGGCATGCAAGGATGGTTTGACATACATAAATCAAGAAATGTGATATACCACATCAACAGAATTAAGAACAGAAACCATATGATCATCTCAGTAGATGCAGAGAAAGCATTTGGTAAAACTCAACATCACTTCTTATTAAAAACTCTCAACAAACTAGGTCTGGAAGAAACATACTTCAACATAATAAAGGTCCTATATGACAAACCCACAACTAATTTTATACTGAATAGGGACAAGCTGATAGCCTCTCCTCTAAGATCTGGAAGAAGGCAAATATTCCCAATTTTACCATTTTTATTCTACATGGTACTATAAGTCCTAGCCAGAGCAATCAGGCAAGAAGAGGAAATAAAGGGCATCTAAATAGAAAAGGAGGAAGCCACATTAGCCTTATTCACATATAACATGATCCTTTACTTAGAAAAACCTAAAGATTTCACCAAATAAATGGTTAGAACTAAATAAATTCAGTAAACTTGCAGGATACAAAATCAACATGCAAACTCCCATAGCATTTATATACACCAACAGTGTCCAATCCAAAAAAGAAATCAAGAAAGCAGTATCATTTGCAATAACCACAAAGAAGAAAAAAAAATCTAAGAATCAATTTAACCAAAGAAGTAAAATGAAAACTATAAAACACTGATGAAAGAAACTGAAGAACACACACACACAAAATTGAAAGAGCTGGGTGCATTGGCTCTCACATGTAATCCTAGCACTTTGGGAGGCTGAGGTGAGAAAACTGCTTGAGCCCAGGAATTCAAGATCAGCCTGGGAGACATACTGATACCCTGTTTCTAAGGAAAAAAAATGAAAACATATTTCATGCACATGAATTGGAAGATTAATATTGTTAAAATGTTTATACTACTCAAAGCAATTTATAGGTTTAAAGTAATCCCTATTAAACTACCAATAATGTTCTTCACAGAAGTAGGAAAAAAAATTATAAAATGTATCTGGACTATAAAATACACCAAATAGCCAAAGCAATCATAAGCAGAAATGAATTTTTGTATTTTTATAATTTTGTAGAGATGGCATTCTGCCATCTTGGCCAGGCTGGTCTTGAACTCTTGGCCTCATGATCCACCTGCCTCAGCCTCCCAAAGTGCTGAGACTACAGGTGTGAGCCACCGCGCCTGGCCCTGAAGATACTTCTAATCACCTTCACTCCAGGAGCCAGATAATGTCTCTCTGAAAGACAGTAGAGTAACATTCTACATGAGCAAATCAAAGCAATCTCCTCCAAATGATTTTGGACTTATGAAGCGTGAAATGTGTGTTCTTACTAAAATGGAGTTAATCCTAAGTAGATAATATTTTTTTCCATGAACTGGATTCTATGTAGCTCACCAGCTGTTCCACCACCAATTTTTCCCTTTAATAAAAGAGAGATTCCACCACAAACCAGCATTTCTCAGGTGGAGGTCTGTTGCTGACATCAACTTCAACAGGACAAATTTCTTTGGAAACCCAAAGGAAAGAAAATACTCAGGCAAAAGGGACTAAAGAAATAGCAACAGTGACAATATCATGCACTGTCATTGTGCTATATGTAAATCAGTGCTTCAGCACTTTAGAAATGCTAATTAACTTAATCCTACTTGCACATCCCTGGATTGTGACTGTTTTCTTTTGCAGATGATGCGATTGGAACCACCGTTACACACAAGTAGTGGTGGAGCAGGGTTTACACTCAGACAACCCTGCCCCAGGGCCATGCTCACACCACTGCAGTATTCCAGAATGTGAGGGTGGGTGGAGAGTCCAGCTCAGGGAGAGAGAATGTAGATAGAGATGAAGAAACAAAGTGTGCAGAGTGGATCACTTTGATGGTCTGGGGCTCTCTTTCCTGGAGCGAAGGGGACAAGAATTATGTCACCACCAAGAAAAATACACAAAGTTTCTGGCTTAAACCTGAGCATCTCCAGCTCTGGGACAGGTGGCTGGACGGGGAAGACAAACTAAGCCAACCTCTGAAGGTTTTCCTCTCCTGAGAATTCTGCGGGAGTTTCCCTGACCTCACCGCCACCTCTTATCCTTTGCTCTTGTTTTTCCCCAGGAACTCGTGAGGGCGTCCTGTCTAGTTTCTATTGGGTCCTGGGCTCTAGAGAGTGAGTGGAGGATGGGCTTCATAAAGTGGGAGATCTCCAGGATCCTCCTTGGATTCCAATATTCCCAGAAAAGCCGGATCCGCGTCCTGGAACCCCCTCCTGCTACTCCGCACTGACCTGGCGGAGATCTGGGCTGGTGACGAGAGGAGCAGGATGAACTGGGTTAGGGAGGAAGGAGGGAAAGGGCTGCCTGCAAGGCTCGGTAGCTCCTCCCGCGGCGCCTCCGCCTCGGGCTGGGGTGTGCAGACTCCTCTGGTCATTTCTCCTGGAGCCGGCGCCTCACGCCACCCTCCCCCGGACCCCGTCCCTCTGTCCCCTCCTCAGCTCCCACCACACAGTAACAAGCTCCCAGGGGAGCGGCTCCTGGGAGGGGCCGGACGTGGGAGGGAGCCCAGGAATCT